CGCCGGGACCCTCCGGTGCTGGGGTCTCTGCCGGGGTGCGGGGCTGATGGGTGCTGTGCTGGCAGGGGACCGCATTCGGCTGGTGGACCTGACGCAGATGCCGCGGCATGTGGGCGAGCCGGTGTTGCTGCCCCACGACCACGTGGACGGCGCCATGTGCACCAACGATGGCGTCTTCCTCTTCTGTGGCCCCAGCTACCACCAGTACCCCAGCGTGGCCCAGCTACTGGGGGCCCAACAGCCCGCCCCCCCGCAGAGCATCGCCACCCACTTCTTCCACTGCCCCCAGTGACCAGGGCCGGTGCTGCCGCCTGGGCCCCTGCGGTGCTGCCGGCACGGGGGCTCTGCCTGTGCCTGGGACGCAATAAAAGCCAGGGAGACACCGAGATCCACCTTGCTCTGTCTGGGGGTGTGTGGGGGGGGGCGTGGTGGGCCGGTGCAGCTGGGTCACAGTGGCCACGGGGTGGCATGGCGCTGTCCCCGTTCCCATGCCTGTCCCCATGCCCGTGCCACCCCGGCTGGGTGCGGCAGGGGCAGCGGGGCAGGACCCGGCAGATGCAGGTGCCCAGGGCCTTGCGGGGGTGTCCTGGTAGGTGAGTCCCAGGGGATGTGGGACGGGGAGGCAGTCCATGGCTGTGCCAGGCTGTACTGGGCTGAACTGGGCTGTGCCGCACAGCACCGCCCGGTGCTGAGCCACGTCATACCATGCCGACTGAAACGTGTCGTCCTGTAACGTGCCACAGTGCACCGAGCTGTGCTGCGCTGTGCCCCACGGCACTGTGCCATGCCCTGCCATGCCATGCCACACCGTGCTGTCCCATGCCCTGCCGCGCTCTCCCACACAGCACCCTGTCCTGTTGCTCTGTGCCACACCGTGCAATGCCGTGTTTTACCCCCCCATATGTCCTGCACCACACTGTGCCGCACCGTACCATGCTGCACCGTACCATACTGTACCAACCCACACCACCTGTGCTATGCCACACTGCACCGCTCCGTGCCATCCCATCCTGCCCGGAGCCGTGCTGGGCTGAGCCGTGCTGGTGTGCTGGGCTGAGCCGTGCCCTGCCACACCACAGCCCTGTGCCGTGCCATGCCGTCCTGCCCGGTGCTGGGGAGGGCACCTCTGGAGCACTGAGTCCGGCTACGGGCTCCCCAGTACAAGCCAGGGAGACGCTGGGCAGAGCCCAGCCAAGACTGTGAGATGCTGCGGGGGGCTGGAGCGTCCCTGGGGCCGGGGGGGCCGGGGCTGCCCGGCCTGGAGAGGAGCCGGCTGGGGGGTCCCCATCCACGGGCATCAGCACCTGTGGGGGGGCAGGAGGAGGTGCCGGGCTCTTCCCAGTGGTGCCAGGGCCAGGGCGAGGGCCATGGGCACAGACTGGCACACAGGGGGGTCCTCCTGAGCACCGGGAGTCACTCATCACCGTGGGGGT